CGCCTTCTCTAAATGTGGCTATATGGATTCAATATAATTTTGTCAAGTGAAATAACCACAAAAATCTAAAATAATCTTGCTTTCTTTTCGGATTTTTATTACTGTGTAAAAAAGCAAATTTCAGATTTCTCTCTGGAGACAAAATAGAAAAGAAAATGCAATCTTTCCAAATAACTTGTAAGATAAAGATGAAAATTGAACAATGAAAGACAAAAATACATTATTTTCTTGATTATGTGAAATTAAAACCTTAAACAGCCCATTTATTTACAAATCCATTAATCAAAAGTAATACTGAGATTTTTATGAGCTTGCCTCATATAGCTCTATTCAGTGACTCTGAATATGCTGCTCTGCATGTTGCAGTACTGTGAGAGGGTACAGAGAAAGACTTCACAAGAACTATCACTCCAAAAAACTGTATTGCTGGGTGTGGGTGTTTGCTCTACTGTAGAAACTTCCTTCTGTGAAATTTATATTCTGTGGAAGTCTTTATTGTTAGAAAATCCCAAAAAGTATTAATGACAATTAGAACTAACAATGGCTGGTGTGTCAGCCTGTCATTTCAACTTGTTTGATTTCAGGACTGTAGAAACACAAAGGATAATCTCCCATAATTTTTGTATGTTTCCTGGGTTTTTCAGTTTGCCCCTCTCCCACTCCCCTTGCCCTCCCCTCAGCAGTCTCTCACAATTGTATTACTGGTTCCTTTATTCTGCCTCAGACCTTAGATCTCTCATCATTCTTAGCCTGTGTGCCTGTGAATGGTAGAGTGGATTACCCTGCAGTGCTCCATAGCAGGGCTGTAGAATGATTAATATTTCCTCTGACAGCCATGCGAGTTTAATTCCTTAAACAGATTTGGCTGAAAAAATAATCCAGCAAAAAACCCTACAGTTGTTTTTCACTGGGCTCGATACCTGAATACAGCTTACTGTGTGGCTGCAGAAAGTTATCCTGGAACAACTGAAAGGAGGGAATTGGGGAAAGAACAGTAATGTGGACCAGCAGTAGCTGAAAATGTTCCTCGGTCTGCCTTCCGTCAGGTTGTCTTTGAACCACAGATACGGCCTCTAACCAGAACAGGTCCAGCCAACAGTCGTGTGTTCTACGAGTGATCTCCGTGCTGTATTTTCAGCCCTGGCATACCAACATTTTAATAACCTTTTGCAACCCTCTGTTGTTTTAATCTGTGAAATTGCAGTAATGAGTCTCTCAGCAGGGCATGGCAGTGGCAGAGCTTTTTCCAGCGGAGATACTAATGTAAATACACAAAGGAATGGCACAGAAAATAATGAGCATGAGGTATATTATAGAGTTTACCCAGTTGCATGGAGAGTCCATGCAGGGTGATTAGTTGTGTATGTTATTTAACGCTTTCATCAGCTTTAGCAATTTCTACATCTATCTCTCCTGTCAGCTGATTCCTGCTTTGCCTGTACCCCTTTGGAGCGGCCAATTCACTTTGTCAGATGAGAAAAAAGAATACCTTTTTTTTTGGTCACATTACTTTTCATCTGAATCAGTTACTTGATCTGTCTTACTATACAGCCTACACTGCAAACCAGAAAGCAGCACAGAAACAGATATAGACACTTGGGAACAAGAGCTGCATCTGCTGCTGCTGCTGCTTCCAGAAAAAACAGATCAAGAGCCATGCCCTCAGGTGCTGCTGAGTTTGAGAGCCAGGCCTTTGGGCTACCCTGAACAGCCGTTCCTTAGAAATTCTGTTAAATTCTGCAGCAGGAGGAAAACAGTTGCCTAAAGGATCTTCCCTCTCCTTATTGTTTCTTGTAGCATAATTCTTTGGTGATTTCTAGTACTCAAAACAACCACTTAAGTGATTTACAGAGTCTGCTCATGAGCCCTGTGCATGGGAATATGATTGCAAAGAAAAGAAGTCAGTATTAGAGAAGGAGTAATTTCTGAAAAGGGCTCATCTAAAAATGTAAAACGTCTTTAAGTGAATGGTAAGAACTATAATCCAGGTAGGATTATAATCAGGCAATTTGACTTCTAGTTTAAGGGAACTCTAGGTGATTGGCGTGAAGAGGAAGTCAGGTTGTCTCTCTCAGGCCGTGTGTAGCCTCTTTGGAAGCTTAAAATCAGTTAACATAGTACTTGTAGGCATATAGTGTATTGTATGTATCTGCTTCAATGAATATTTGATATGAAACTCTTGATAAATGGCTCCTCTGAAGATACGTTATGCAAATGAAAACTCCTTATTTATTCCCTTTAGCCTTACTATACTTTTTAATAAACTAGAAAGAACATTTTTATTTCTGGTGCCATATGATTCTTAATGTTCATATAACTGAAATAACCAAAGCGTAAACTTTTAAGTGTGGGGAAACCAACCACAGAATTAAAAATGTCACGTCTGTTCTGTCATCAAACTCCATCTTCAGCAAGAGTTTTTTCCAGGAATATCCTGAAAAGCAGAATCGCACCCTAATACAGTATAACCTGCTTCTGTGCCTGCCGCTGGCGCCAGATAAATTATGGTAAGATTGTCATAGTCCTGCCAGTTTATTTTTAAAATGATAGGTCTCTAAGTAGCTGTAAATAAGACTAATCAAGATGGAGATTTTTAATCATCTTTTCATCTTTCAGTAGATTAAGCAATATGTCCATACTTAACTTGATATTATCCAGAAATATTTAATTTATGGAGCACACATGACTGAACATTGAAACTGGGCCAAATATTGCAGTAATTGCTAGATAATCCTATGTTTTCTCATTTGTCAGAGCTTCTCCAGAGACTGCACATTCTGCTTAGCTTATTTGATCACTATGCAGTTGTCTTTCAGAAGGCTGGTAATTTCTAAATTATTAGTATTGTTTTGTGTATGTATCTGTGGTGGGCTGACCCAGGCTGGAGGCCGGGTGCCCACCAAAGCCGCTCTGTCACTGCCCTCCTCAGCTGGGCAGGGGGAGAAAATGTAATGAAAGGCTGGTGGGTCGAGATAAGGGCAGGGAGGGATCACTCACCAATTACTGTCACAGGCAAAACAGACTAGACTTGGGGAAATATTTAATTTATTACCAATCAAGTCAGAGTAGGATAATGAGACAATAAAACCTAAATCTTAAAACACCTTTCCTCCACCCCTCCCTTCTTCCCGGCCTCAACTTTACTCCCAAATTCCCTACCTTCTCCCCTCTAGCAGCACAGGGGGACAGGGAATGGGGGTTGTGGTCAGTCAGTCACATGTTGTCTCTGCTGCTCCTTCTTCCTCAGGGGGAGGAACTTCGCTGTAGCTTCATTAGAAGAAATTAGCATGCTCACACTGCTGTTACCCGGTGGTTATATGTGAGGCTATAGCTGCAGCGTGGTGCTTTGGAAGTTAATGATTTAGGTGTGGGTCCAGGAGAACAGAGATCGTATTGAATACTTCACATGTGTATAAAACATCACATGAGAGTCCTCAAGAACACTGTGTGTATATACTGCCTTCAAATTACTGTTGGTTATGATCAGGTATGGTCTGTTGGGGCAGTGGCAACCATCTACGGTTAATGAGTTAGAATCACTACTTACATTTCTTTTCGCTGTAATATAATTTTGTAGTGTATTGTGTGTTTTCCGAAAAAAAATAAGCAAAAACTGAACTTTAAGCATATCAGTGTGAATAAATTAAATGTCTAGCATCCACAGATAGGTTGAAGCAATACTCTGTTTTAGTTATGTGGCATCTTGTTTCTTACAGATATTTTGAAACTCAAGTGTCTGCCATAGTTTAGCGGCTTTTCTTTTGGCATTTTCTGTGTTAAGGAGCTTCTGTTAAACCAGTGAGTCTGCTCACGTGGATCCGTCTGCCCACATGTCATTGTGCTAATATAACTTTTTAGAAGTAGTAGATTACCTAAAAAACATGCAAAACCCTCAGTGAAAGGGACTGGAGACAGTCACTTACCTTGCCAAATCCCCTTTATTTAGGGAGTTTCTCAGGCTCCAGTGAGGAGGCAGTGATCGTAGAATCATAGAATGGTTTGGGTTGGAAGGGACCTTAAAGACCATCTAGTTCCACCCCCCCTGCCATGGGCAGGGACACCTTCCACTAGACCAGGTTGCTCAAAGCCTCATCCAGCCTGGCCTTGAACACTTCCAGGGATGGGGCATCCACAACATCTCTGGGCAACCTGTTCCAGTGCCTCACCACCTTCTCCATGAAGAAGAATTTCTTTTTGATGTCCAATCTAAATCTGCCCGCTTTTAGTTAAGACCATTACCCCTTGTCCTATCACTACAGGCCCTTGTAAAAAGTCCCCCCCAGCTTCCTTGTAGCCCCTTCATGTACTGGAAGGTGCTATAAGGTCTCCCTGGAGCCTTCCCTTCTCCAGACTGAACAAGCCCAACTCTCTCAGCCTGTCCCCATAGCAGAGGGGCTCCAGCCCCCTGATCATCTTCGTGGCCTCATCTGGACTCACTCCAACCGGTCTATATCCTTCTGATGTTGAGGGCCCCAGTATATGACACAGTATCATTTAGAATATAATAAATAAACATTACGTAACATGCTAATCGTATTTTCAACATTGCATATTTTAGAAATTCATAATGATCTTTAGCTAGGAGATTTTTATAATATTTTAAGAAATGTTAAAAACAATGCAGTAAATTTAAGGAAGGAATCCACACATTGAGAAAATGCAGTGATGGGACATTAGGTACTTCCATGAGGGACCTTTGTTGTATTTATATGTTTTCCTTCTGTTACCTCATCCCGAAGGCTGACATCGTCTTCTGGAGAAGAACACTCAAAGTCTTGTCTTTCCTACTATATATTCAGGCCTTTTTGCTTCCTAATTTTTTGTTATGGCATACTCTTGAGCTCTGGATGTTATGGAAGGCTGTCATGCTGTCAAGTTGGAGTTTCAGTATTTGTTCAGCGGGAACAGATTGTTGTTAGTAGATGTTACCATCTAGCTGCGTTAGTGCTTCTGCTTTCCAACAAGAAGAGCTGAGTCTTTTTGACTTACCAATCGTACGGATGAGAAAAGAGTTTGTACGGACAGGTGGTGTGTCTCATTTGGGCTGTGTTATTTGCTTGCGTGGAGGGGATTACAGATGCAATTGCACCTGCTTACTGAGAGGCTTTCCTCCTCTGTGCTCCAGTGACAGCTTATGTGAGGCTGACAGCTCTCTCAGGTAACTGCTCCGCCAAAATGGTTTTCAGATAAAAGGTTAGTGGAAGCTGGCAGTGAAGCAAACAACTGTATGTGTGAATTTTCCCACAATATTGGAACCCTCAACATCAGAAGGATATAGACTGGTTGGAGTGAGTCCAGAGGAGGCCACGAAGATGCTCCGAGGGCTGGAGCCCCTCTGCTATGGGGACAGGCTGAGAGAGTTGGGCTTGTTCAGCCTGGAGAAGAGAAGGCTCCGGGGAGCCCTTATTGCCCCTTCCAGTACCTGAAGGGGCTACAGGGAAGCTGGGGGGGGACTTTGTACAAGGGCCTGTAGTGACAGGACAAGGAATAACGGGTTTAAATTGAAAGTGGGGAGGTTTAGATTGGACATCAGGAAGAAATTCTTCCCGGAGAGGGTGGTGAGGCACTGGGACAGGCTGCCCAGAGAAGCTGTGGATGCCCCATCCCTGGAAGGGTTCAAGGCCAGGCTGGATGAGGCTTTGAGCAACCTGGTCTAGTGGAAGGTGTCCCTGCCCATGGCAGGGGGGTTGGAAGTAGATGGTCTTTAAGGTCCTTTCCAACCCAAACCATTCTGTGATTCTATGATTCTATGGTTCAGATATTCCCTCCTGAGTGTGTTATGCTTTGGCAGTCTATCCTGAGTTAGAGCTGCCACATATCAAGTAACTTGGCTAGGGCTTCTTTGAAAATTCTTGTCTTTTTAAATTTTGACTAATGTTGACATAACATCTTGACTACCTGTAATCTTGTAACTTTACTTTTTTATTCTTTTCCAGATCTACAGTAAACATGTTAGTAGATTTTCTAGATTTTTGCTTGACTTTGTTGACTCTAATTATGTAGCCCTGGAGACAGTACATAGCAATCTATTTTAATTGCTTTTCCTATGTACAAGTAAAAGAAGAATAAAGAAAAAATACATATGCAGGTATATATCTCAGAATAAGAAACAGACAACTATGCTGCATTTAAACTTGTTATACTTTTTAAATTGCTAATTTATAGTGCTTTTCTTAAAAAAAATACCATTCAAGTCATGTTGATATTCACTGCATTTGTTCTGACACTTGATATGTTTTGACCACTCAGGGGAAATTGTGTAGGAGCTCATAAATGCTGGAAGGGGGTGATACAGTGCTCACCACTGTGGGTTCCTACAGTTAATGTCTGGTGGTAGTTGGTTCTCTCCATGAGCAGATCCAGTACAGTTAAGTTGTCAGAAGGCTTACCCAGTCGAAGACATGACTTTTTTTTTCCAGGTTAATGATTATTATAAGCTCATGAAAGTGTTTACCGAAGTCAGAGAGGGGTAGCTAGGTCTGCGTAATTGTGGGGAAGGAGAGAATGAAGAACCACACTTTCTCCTATGTGGTGTCACTACACCATTGTGTTGGTTCAACTGTTGATGAAATCTCAGCTTCAGCTTACACAGAGGTGAACTTCGCAACTGAGCTTGATCTGGGCTTAAATTTAGCCTGAAAGCCAGAGCTGATGTCACCTTCAATGAATAATGAAGATTTGGTGTAGCTCTGTAGAACGTAAAATTCTTCAAAGGTGTTTATTACTACTTTTTTCTCTTTTAAAAAAGTTTTCATGCTCTACTAGAGTAATAATCCTTTATATGTTTGTTCTCTGTCTCTTTTCTCTAGTCGCAGCCTCTTGCCCTGCAGGATGTTTTGTGAGGCAGCAAAAGAAGGCTGTGAACCAGTCCTGGGTATGGTAAATGCTTCTTGGCCAGAATTCCTGAAGTGCTCTCAATTCCAAAACAAAACTGAAAATGACACCACTACAAGGGTATGCTTCTCACCACACCAAGAAAAAGGAAAGCAGTGTATGTTTCTGTTCTTAACTGTTACACTATGTTCATGAGTTCCTATTTAATAATGTATTTTTTATTGTGTAGGAAAAGCTCTGGGATGAAATTATTATTACTAGTTCTGCTATTATGTTCCTTCATATTATTGTCATGAAGTCTGGTTGTCAGTTGGTTATAGTTTTGTTGTGCTTTAATTGTTTGGGCTGAATTTTTTTTAGACTCATATTGATTTGAGGCTTTATGGTTTTGCATTAAAAATTCTGAGCTGTTTCAGTAAAAGAAAGTGGGAGAAAAGTAATATGCCCTTTAAAAACATTCTGCTGACTTTTTTTTGCTAAGCTCTAGTAAATACAGGATTGTTTTTTGTAGCAGGAAGCTGATACACAGGCCACGTTTCAAGTGTATCTCCTTTTTCTGTGCTGTAAAAATGAGCTCAGAACTGATGGAGAGGTAAAGTTCTCAGAAATCATGGTTTGTATACATCCACTCATAGAATCATTTAGGTTGGCAAAGACCTTTAAGATCATAAATTCCAGCTGTTAACCTAATACTGCTAATACCATCACGAAACCATGTACCTAAGTACCACATCTACAGGTCTGTTAAATACCTCCAGGGATGGTGACTCAACCACTTCCCTGGGCAGCCCATTCCAATGCCTGACAACCCATTCCATGAAGAATTTTTTCCTAATATCCAATCTAAACGTCCCCTTGAGGCTGTTTCCTCTTGTCCTGTCACTTGTTACTTGGGAGAAGAGACCAACACCCACCTCATCACAACCTCCTTTCAGGCAGTTGTAGAGAGCGATAAGGTCTCCCCTGAGCCTCCTCTTCTCCAGGCTGAACACCCCCAGCTTCCTCAGCTGCTCCTCACAGAACTTGTGCTCCAGATCCTTCCCCAGCTCCGTTGCCCTTCTCTGGACACGCTCCAGCACCTCGGTGTCTGTCTTGTGGTGAGGGGCCCAAAACTGAACCCAGGATTCAAGGTGCAGCCTCACCAGTGCCCAGTACAAGGTGATGATCACTTCCTAGTCCTGCTGGCCACAATATTTCTGATAGAAGCCAGAACGCCATTGGCCTTCTTGACCACCTGAGCACACTGCCAGCTCTTTTTTGGCCAGCTCTTGACCCAGGTCCTTTTCCACCAGGACAATACAAGGCATTTCCATCTCCTTAGAGATGCTGCTCTGTTGTCTAGATCCAAATGTAGGTGAGATCAGACCTCAGAGCAGCAAGCCGGACTCTTCTCATTGGCCCCATTGCTGGAGTTCTCTTGCTGGCACCTGAGACTACTGTTGGTATGCATCATGCTAGGAGCCTAAGTGACAGAGGCTTGTACAGTCAACCTTGTACTGTGGGTTCTAACTTTGTTAATGGCTTCTGGGTGACAATAAACAAGAAGAAATGCTATGATGACAATTTTCAATTTTGTTTAAAAAACCTAAGAAGTTATACATGCAAAACTACCTTGAAAGATCACTGGCTATACAGTGTATCTTTGAATTTTAGTTAATGATACAATCAAGATTGTTTGTATATCCTAGGTTACCTCCTTGCGCTTTCGGAATGTGCATAATGATACGCGCTTAAATCACTGGATCATCTTTTTAGCAGTTGGATTCTCCCTGTCTCTTTAGGGATGTTTTGAGGGGTCACAAAGTAAAGGAGGCTGTTGTCCATACCTATCTTCACCTGTGGGAACATTTGTAATGGCTGAAGTGGGGAATTATACAAAGAGGGATTGTGTCTTGCTGAAGGCAGTTGAATGCTTTCCAGGAAAATTGAACACTATCCACAAGTCTTTGTAGGGTTCCTATGGGATTTTCAGCAAGTTGCTGTAGTGAAAGTCACTGAGAGCTGTGTTTTAACCTTATGATGTAAATCTATGCTAAATATGCTGAAAAATTAGGTCTAATGGATCTCTCCAAATGGGAACCATAAGCAAGCAATTATAAAAAGGCATATTTTTTTCCCTGCCTCAACTTCCCTTTGTAAAATGAGAATAAAATTGTCCTTACAGCTCACAGGGATGTTGTAACCGTATGTGTTGATGCTTTCAGTATCATAGTGATGAACATCTTAGGAGTTAGAAGTACAGTAATTTTATCTTCAGGGCAGGTTCAAATAGCAAATAAGGTAAGAGACTGTAGTGTAAATGTGTAACTATGGTAAGGGGTTGTACGTTGAGCAAGGAGAGTAGCAACAAGCGATGAGTGACTAGCATATAGTTAATGGAACACCCTCATACTGGGCACACAGGTAGAATTCTGCAACAGTGTGTTGCAACATACTGGTTTCATGCATGTGTGGTACACAGATGGAATACAAGGTATGATATAAATACTCCTATTGAATTTTGACAGATTATAGCTGGCTGAAGGGTTCAAAAGCCACACCAAATCAGATTGCCGAACTTTTAGATCAAGCCAGAAGAGATAGCTGACTTCGGAAACTTTAAAGTTTCAAAATATCTTCTGGCTAAAATCATATATTTAATACTGCTAGAGAAGAAGTTAGAACAGTGCCTGGTTGATGATTCTTCCATAACCTGTATGGCAGGATTTGTGTCTGTCGGGTAGTGAACTGCATAAATGACAGCGTAGTAGACAGTGAACACTTGCTATTTCTCACTAGGGGAAAACCTCTAGAGCCAGTTGTGAGATTCACTGTCCCTACCTGGCAGACTGTGGAGGCCCAGGCTGCTTATTGGCAGTTCCGACATCCTGTTGTATAAAACAAAAGGCATTTAAAATTCATTTTGTCATCAACTATTGTGCTTGATGCTTGGATATGAATAGGTTTCATGTAGAAGGATAGACTAGAGAATATTTTTACTTTTTTATTTAAAAGAATGGTTCTAATGTGATTCCTCTATAATTGAAAAAGGTCAGAATCTAGGTGCACTAAGCTGTTTCTCCTACAAAAATAAATTATACTGTGGCTGAATGCTTCTTTCTGCATTTTGTATATTTGAAAGAATTTACTTCTCTGAACATAGTAGAACCAAACAGCAGGGGTCGGTTCACTGTTCCAATCCCTTTTTACCTAGTGCTCAGCCCAAAGTGCTCTTCATGCTCTTCTCAGGGCTCAGTTCCTGGAAATTCCAAGCTCATGTCCTTGGCATATGGCTCCTTATGTCTCAACTTTGTGGTTTCTTCTGGGGACTAATGCCTCCAGATCATGTGCAGTGAAACCCTCCCTGCCCACATATGTCTTTCATATAATTTGTTTTGTGTGTTGATGTTATTATTTTTTTTAAGCTTTAGTTATTTCTTTTATTTATCAAAAATAAGGTCTGGTTGCTATACCTGCTTGTTCCCAATCCGAATCAAAATTTTCTCTTGATTATTTTTGTCTAATTGTGACTAAATACTTCGTATTCTCCATATTTTCTGAATTAAAAATTATCACTCCTCCAAAAAACCCTTGAACCTCACATGCCTTTCCAAGCTCTCTTGGAGAATGTATGCTTGACTGATCTTCCAGTTAGAATCTAGAGCATTTATTCCAGGGACAATTACCAGCTTTGCTGAAAAATGTTTATTAGTTAGAATTGGGATTATCTAGTGGATATGTATACTTGTTTATGTGTCACTACTGATATTCCTCTCTTTGTCTACATTTTCCTCCACAAGAATTGCAAATTGAGTGCACGTTACCACTGTGGAGAAACTATTATGACATACATTCCTGATGTGACCACAGATGTACTGAATGTACTAGAAAATCTGAGCCATGTGCCAGTAGAGTAAAACCATCCGAGTGCACAAAATGAGTCACAGAGAAAAAGGTGCATTTCTGTAGACAGGGCTGCATCGGTGGGGTTGATATCCTTTCACACAAGGGACAAGTGAATACCTGGTAGGTGAGAAAATCAGCTACTCTGAAAAAGTTTTAGGAATCCAGCTGTTGAGATTTAGGATAGATGATTGAACTGGTTTCACTTCCAATGAATTATGAGGGGGAAGCATCATCAGTCATTCATTCCACATGAATGCAATAATGCGTTCTGGGGGGGAGAAATCTCAGAAACCTTCCTGGGGCTGCTATACATATCCTTACTCTCAGAAATATTCCAGCTCTGGTTTTCTTTCTTTCAACTGTCACTGTGTTTTTCTGTTATTTTATTTGCTTTGACCAGACAACATAGCTGATGCTGTTAAAACTGTGGGGGAAAAAACCACAGAGTTTGAATGAGAAGTAAAGCAATACAATGAGCTGACTTACATTAACGTGGAGCTCTCACAAGAGCCCTGTAATTATTTTACGCTTAATCTGAATGGTAAAGTGCTTTCAAAGGCGGCAGTGAATACGATGCTTCTGCTCTTTATACAGTGAGACTGTGTAAGGGACAGTATGGAGCTGTCAGACCATGTTCACTTTTGTATTATTACTAAAGAGTCATTATGAACGTCTCTCTTAAAAAAATGATGCTGCACAAGAGTCCTGAACTGCACTTCATAGCCATGAGATGTGTAATAAATAATACTATTTAAGTCCTATAAAAGACATAGCATATTAAAATTTAAATACGGAACATAAATTTAATTGCATTATTATGTTGCAAATTCTTTATATTGTTTGTTCTTAAAGGTACTAGAAAGTACATTTAAAAAAAAAAAAAAGACTTCTTCTCCAGTGAGAAATTGTTTTTAAATTTCCATCTGTTATGCCAAATTATGAAAATATTTTTCATAACATTTTTTCCAAGAACAAATTTATAGCTTTGTCTTAGGAGATTTTATCTCTCCACAGAAGTTTTTTGCAATGTTTCAAATAGTGAAAGGTAAATATATGAAAGTACATTTTTTTCAGGTAACTTATTGCAAATGTTCCTGTGTTCACAATTTTATTCCTATTGGAGTGAATGTTAGAGATTTTAGTCTTAACTCGTATTTAATGGAGACATTAACTTACTTTTCTTCTTTATGTTAGTTTCTTAAAAATACTGCTTTTTTTTTCCTTGAACAATGCAAGAGAGGGACTTCATGTGCTGTAATGGTTTCTGAGTAT